TTTGCCTCGGCGGCATGCGAAGTGGCGCCGCACGTTGTGTTGATCCTCGTGGCTTCCCCCGGATTCGAGGATTTTGTGCTGATTGATGGAGCGTAGTTCCCCAAAAGCGATGGCGCCGAGTTGAGACTTTCCGATTGTAAAGTTCTGCAAGAGCTGGCCGAGCGTGTCGGGCGTGCATGCCGTGGGGGTGGCCTGAGCGTAGCATCCAAAGCTCGGGTAGTCATGGTTCTCGGGCCTCCAAGCAGCGGGTCGGATCATGTTCTCATGGCACATGCGGCGCACTCGATCCGGGGTGGTGCCGTGCACATACATGACAGCGTGATGGGAGGCCGTGCCGGATCCAGCTTCCGGGTCTCCGCCAGCAACTGGCCAAGGATGAGGTCGGGGAAACCAAGTGGTTGCGAACACCATGCCGTGTGATTCCCGTCCCAAGAGGTGGTAGAAGCTGGGATCGAACGGTATGGGATCATCCGTGTCCATGGTTCGCAGTTCCCAGCATTCCGCGAGGAGATCGGCATGTGAAGGTGGCAAAGCAGGGTCCAGGTCCATCAAAATGGCCTTAGTCTGTTCCACCCTGGAGATGTCCAAGGCTGGAAGCGGGTCCAGCTCCCCCAACTCCCTAGGCGTGGGAACTCGCAGCGGGTCAGTCTTGGCCGTGTCCATGACGTTTCTCCATAGATCAAGCCACCGGTTGTCGGAAGTGGTGGTGGCATTGATGTCCGCCTCCGATGGAGGGGGATCCAAATCACCGGTGTTGTCGAAGGGGGGTTGGGGAGGGTGAGGAGTAGCCGGCGTGGGTCGGGGAGGGGGAGGGGGAGTGGAAGTGAAGGCCGCCGCAGGTGCTGGGTGAGGGGGCAAGCTAGTGTTGTGGTGGCCGGTGCGGGAAGTGGGGTGGGGTTGCTGCCCATGGTGCTGCAGTGACCAGGACGATCGTTTGTCCTGGTTGTTTCGGTGGCCGGTGTGGCTGGCGCCATGGTGGTGCATGTCCCAGCGGTTTTTGTTCTGTGGTGGGTATCCCCACGATTGGTTCCGCCAGTGTGAGGAGGACCATTGAGACTTGTTGGAATCCTTCCCGGAAGTGCGCCAGGAGTCCTTCCCGGAAGTGCGCCAGGAGGTGGAATCATGAGGAGTGTGAGTGGGTCGGTGCGAAGTCGTGGCTCTGGGTGTAGGGGAGTGTCGATGGTGGGACCTGTGTCGGGGGGAGCGGGAGCGGAGGGAGACAGTGGAGTGGTGTGCACGTCGGGAGTGGTGGGAGTGTCGGGAAAGGGAACGTGACCTGCTGTAGCTGCGGGATCGTCGGGTGTCGTGTCGTCGGTGCGACTTGTTGTGCCTGCGATGGTGGCTGGTGTGGGAGTGGGAGTGTCGGTGCTGTCTGTGGCGGGAACGGGATCTGCGAGAGTGGGGATGGTGCCGAGTGTCCGGGGGAGGGTGGTTGGTTGAGGAGGTAGCGGCAGGAGCCGCAGCGGCAGCTTCGGGCGCGCGCGCCGGCTGAGGCTCGGGCAGTGAAGATGGCATGCTGCTCTGAGTCATGAAAGGCATGATGGTGCCAGGTGCCAAGTTGCCGTAATTGGGAGGGCCACCGTAGGGCATCATGGCCATCGGGTTGCCAAAGTTCGAGAGGCCGCCGTAGGGCATCATGGGGAAAGGTGTGAAGGATGCCGTCTGCGAGTTGGGTGACGGTACAAGGTTCATGGGCTGCGTCATCTGGGATGACAGCTGCAAGTTCGGTCCACAATTGCCTGGCGAGCCGGACGCGGTGCCGGTCGCAATGCTGTGCAGGAGCGAATGCATCATGTCATAGAGCTGGTGTCCAGCCATCTCGCAAGGGAGAGAGAAGGTTGGAAAGGGGTGAAACAAAACCACAACTGCGGCAAAAATGCGTCAATGGTGCAAATGCATGCGAGCAAAAATGCGTCAATGGTGCAAATGCATGCGAGCACAAAGGGGTTCTCAGAGGTGCCTGTCAAGTGGCCTCATGAAAGTGCCTCATGTGGCTATGCCGATGAATCTGAACTGAACTCATCCGAGACGAAAGCTTCCATAAACACCACGAATTGCAGAGTTGGTGTATGACCAACTCGTCACTGGCGCATGAAGCTTAGGAACCTGAAACCTCGTGGGTGCAGCCTTGCATCAAAGGCAGGCAGTGCATGCAGTGCAACGCGCATGAAACCAGCAGAGCACCATTTGGGTGCGGAATACCTTAAGACCTCAAGCAGCAGCCTTGATCGTGGTCAAACGCGCTGAACTGCAGCTTGAATTTGAACACTTGAACGGTCTTCCCCTCGCAGGGGGCTCCCGCATGTGGCGAGTCCAGCCCACAGCGCCATGTCGGACAGGCCGTGGGTAAACACACTTATCTCGAGAGGCTTCACTAGCCGAGATGCAAAGGTTGGAAAAACCTGCAACTGCTGAAATTGCTTGACAGATCACAATGCAGAACAGAAACCGGGAAGCAACAGCGAACAGGACAGAGAAACAGTCAGGAAAAAGAAGGAAAGGCAGGTACGTCCAGCTGGCCAAGCTGGATATCCCACTTCACTGGTAGCTTCGTTGGACACAGTCCCAGTGAAGTGCTGTGTCCCCCTGCAATGTGGAATTTCCGTCCGTGCTCCAGGACGCTTCACACACACACACACACACACACACACACACACACACACACACACACACACACACACACACACACACACACACACACACACACACACACACACACACACACACACACACACACACACACACACACACACACACACACACACACACACACACACACACACACACACACACACACACACACACACACACACACACACACACACACACACACACACACACACACACACACACACACACACACACACACACACACACACACACACACACACACACACACACACACACACACACACACACACACACACACACACACACACACACACACACACACACACACACACACACACACACACACACACACACACACACACACACACACACACACACACACACACACACACACACACACACACACACACACACACACACACACACACACACACACACACACACACACACACACACACACACACACACACACACACACACACACACACACACACAACACACACACACACACACACACACACACACACACACACACACACACACACACACACACACACACACACACACACACACACACACACACACACACACACACACACACACACACACACACACACACACACACACACACACACACACACACACACACACACACACACACACACACACACACACACACACACACACACACACACACACACACACACACACACACACACACACACACACACACACACACACACACACACACACACACACACACACACACACGAAACCATGTAGTCTTCAAGCAATTTCACCTTGGACCTTTTATGTAAACATCATCTCTTTGTTCATATTTTAGGTTTGACATGAAATGAGGGGCTAAACCAATAAAGCTTGTCTCCTGTCATGACTTTAGTTGGGTTAATATACACCACAACAGTCTTGAATGATTTCGGCGACTTTGCAAGGTAATCACATATATTTAGCTCTAGGTACACATGATGGTTTTCTCTGGTTGCCCATCCAGCACAATTGGCACAGGGAGCGTCACTCGTTGGACCATGATCTTGCAGCGGTGCGCATTCATTCAGCAGCTGGCCTCGCGAATTTCGCAACGTGAGTTGCTGCGGATTCCCGAAATATCGACATGGCCATGTTATTTTTGGAGTTGGTACCCCCTTGGAGTGGTTTGCTAGGGACACCAAGAGGAAACTCACAACTTTGGCGGTCCCTTATGTCAAGTCACACCCAGATGGGTGGCGAGAGTCATACCAGCTCCGAGTGCCCAGCCCATTGTCAAACTCATCAAACGTCTTGAATGTTCCAAAGCCCTCTTTGGGTGGGCGTGTTTTTGGAGGGTTTCCTTAGACAACCATGTGCTTTGGGCCTCCCCCTTTGACACCTACCCACATGGGCCCTCTCCCCTCCAAAAAAGAGGGTTTCCTTTTGGCCTCATTTTAAACCTTACCCAAAGCAGCAATCCTGACAAAGGCTTACAAAAGCAGCCACACATGGGAAATGGCAAGGGTTTCCTTGTTTCATGATGTTTCATGCTGAAGCAGCATTTAGGGAATCAATCGCACTAGGACAATGCTCCAACTCGACTGCTGAGAAAGAAGTTTACGCGAGCGGACGGCTGAGATTCGCGGACTACGGTCGTTGAGAGAAGGCATAAAGAGACCTTGGAGGCAAGATGTCCCCCCTCCAAATTCCTTTGTTCAATGGGATAGTCTTTAGAAGCCAGGTTTCCAACGGCAAATACCGGACATGGTGTTGCACTTGTGCTGCGGCTGAGTTGGACGTCTGAGTTCCATGGATTCTGTTCGGCCAACCTCCATCTGAGCCACACGCCTCGCCTTTACGGCCCCAACCCGACAGGGCATAGGACTTGGCGCCTGCAACCGGAACACTCAGTGGGTGTGCCATGCAGCAAGGTCAGTCGTCAATAATGTAAGTTTAGCAGCAATGAGGACCAACTTCGATTTTTTGACAGAACATGATACTTCAAAGGCGTTCAACGCCCTCCTTGATCAATCCAAAATTGACATCAATCTCATGGATGATGACCTAGATCACACCATAGCTAACCTTTCGCCATTTGCCTTGTGTGTTCAAGGGGGTTCCTTTTGCAGATGGAATAACTGGTTAACTTCTTTCACTTCAAGTCAATATCCTACAAAGTTGACGCCTTTTGTTGTTTTTGGCCTCCTTTGTACTCTTGGTGGGTTTCCCTTGGTTTCCCCCCTGTGGCCTTCTCCCTTTTTTTGTGGGTTCCCCTTGTGTTTTTTGGGTGTCTTTTTGGGTTTTCCCTGGGTTTTCCCTCTGATCGCTCCTGGGTTTTTGCCGTTTGGGTCGGTCGACGTCGACGCTGTGTGTCGGGCCAGGCCCGCGCCGCCACCTACGGCTTCGTGGCGGAGCAGCCCTCGCAGATTTTGGGGGACCGGCCAGAGGCGAACTTCGGAGCGTGTGGTGGGGGGAGGATTGGGTTGGGGGGTGGGGGGGTGGGGGGTGGGGGGTGGGGGGAGGAGTGGGGGGGTGGGGGGCTGGGGGGTGGGGGGATCCGATTGAGAGCATTTCATGAACATGCCTGTTTTCGCACAAGACTACTCAACCAGCCGAACTGACGGACACGTGTTGCTTTAAACAGCGGGCACAAGCGCATTGCGGGCATAAGGTTCTGATTGGATCCAAGCAGGGGTCATTGACCGATTGTTGTTCATGTCAGCAGTTAATCAGTTCTCAGGGCCCTGAAGAATTGGACTGGACTTGACAAGTCTCTTCCTGGGAGGTGCTAGGTATGCCCCACGACCATCATGAACATGAGATGATTCAGAGAAGACCCGAGGGAACAACATGCCTTCCCATCAGACGAGTCTGAAGAATTGGCACTTCCACTGGCGAATGGAATGGATGTTTCACTTCGAACTGCAAATCGTGCAGATGGGTATGGGTCAAACCGTAAGTCTTGGGTATATATTCCAATTTTTGTCCCACAGCCATATTCTTCGCAACTTTTGCATAGGGTCCTAGGAGCCTCTATGAACGGTTTTCCCCGCAGAAGGGGGCGTTCGGAACTCAACGGCAGTTTCACTCAACTGGGCGGCTTGTCTTTTTTCGGGTGCCCTCCAATTGGGGTGGTTTTAACGGGAAAACAAAAGGACAACTGAAGCCATTTTGGGGTGTCCGATTCCGACCTAAACAAAGACGCACCCAGATACACCAGCAGAAAGTAACATTATCCGTTGCAGGCTGCACTTAAGATTGCTAAGCGCCGAAAAGACTTCTGATGCTGAACTAGTTCAGTTTCGCAGGGAATAGTCAGGGTCGCGAGTCCCTATATTTCTAACTAACCATCACCTTGGGCCAGCTTTCCGAGTTTCCTTTGGGGTGTGAGTTGTTTTTGGTGGGGAAATCGGGGTGTGTCTTTTTATTTCATGGGTTCCCACCAACATCGGTGGTTTCCTTTTGGTTTCCCATTGACACCACTAACCCTGACTCGCCACCAAACCGGCACCCCTCTTTGGTGCGGATGGGTCGTCCTTTTGACGCGCCGCCCAGTCGAAACGCACTCCCTTCTGCGTGCGCCTGCTCTCCCCGAACCTCGTGTCTGACGCGGACTGCAGCGAGTCGACCTGGAACTTGGTTGGTCAGTTGGTACGCAAGATGGCCAGAATTCGAGTTATTGCTCTGCACAAGAAAGCCCAAAAGGTTGTTTTGAGCACTTTTCCCAGGATCCCCCATTTAGCACCCAGTTTAGGTCCCAAACTAGGGGACAACACAAACACACGAGATGGGCGCCGCCGAAGGCAGCACCAAGTTGTTTTTCTTTTTCCCCCTTTTTAAGATTCGAGTAGAAAGGGTCACTGAAGCGATAGCGCACTCAGAACAAACTTCCATTCCTTGCCCGTAACCTGAGAACAGGGCTGGCCCTACAAAGCTGCCAGTGTGGGCCTTCAGAGTGCCTTCAAATTCAGAGTAGCATACCACCTGCTTCAGCACTTGCTTGAGACTGGAGCACTTGCCCTGCTCAGCTTTGGTCATGCGCGAGTCGTCACCGTTACCTGTCTCTGTCTGCTCAGTTCCTCAAACTCGTTCAGTCTGACGCTTGATTGAAATCAGTAGACTCCCAAAGATCCTCAGATGGGTCCTGGAACTTGATCGAAGAGTGCTTTGGCCTTCGAACTTTGGATTTGCGGATTGGGCCCCAAAGGCTCCTTTTGGGGATTGGATCTCCTTTTCGGGTGCAATGTTAATGTTCAAGGGAAGCAACCTAGGGCTAATTGGTCAAGCCTGGGCACGGTTGTTTTCTTTTTTTGTTTTGCGGCAACTCCCTGCTGTGAATCGAGGGTAAGTGGCCAGTCCCACCCACAAGTTGTTGCAGATATCCGCTCTTTTGGGTTTTTGGGGTAGACTCCAAAACCGCACCACGATGCGACTCATGTTGGCCCCCTTTCAGTTGAGCAGCAATCAACCCCATTTTGGCCGTAGGTGGTTCTGCCTGGCTTGGCGCTTGCAAGGCCTATGTTCAACCTTTATATCCATGGACCAGAAGCGGGGTTGTGGGATCAAGGGGGTTATCCCCACTATGATACAAGGGAATCCCTCTTTTTTTTGGGGGGAGGTTAGTCTTTGGGCAGCCCTTCCTGTTGTATCAATTGAGGTGGATTCCATTCCCCGCAGCGACCAGAAGTGGGTATGGGTCAAAGGACCGCATATTTTGGTCCATGTGTCCATTTACCAGGGCTCCATTTTGGCTACATATTTTTGACCCATCACTAACTGATGGATCACTCAAAGGGTTGAGTTACAGGAAATTCTACAGGAAAACAGCTGATTTAGGGTGTTTTGGGGCCAACCAAGTCACCGTTTCGAGCCAGGACACGAAGCAGTGGGAGGTGGAGTATAGCTTGCGGGAGGTCCGCACTGCCACCATCCGGCAGGCGGATCCCCCGAGCGCGCGATGGGATCCGGCAGCCGCAAAGGGAGTGAGCCGGACAAATGTTCGACGGTGGAGCCACTTAAGGGTATCTTTTTGTCCCCCTTGATATAAGGGGGATCGCTTTATTTTTGACAAATAACCTTGCAGAGATGCGGTGATTCAAACAGATTACTTAAACATAAGCACATACACACACACAAGCACACACAAGCACACACAAGCACACACAAGCACACACAAGCACACACAAGCACACACAAGCACACACAAACCAACGCACACACACACACACAGACACACATAGAACACGAGCCAGGAATTGGACCGCATATTTTCATCCTTTCAGTTTACCGATTGATGCGGCAAGCCATTTTGGGGTTGCTCGATTTTCGAGCCACACCCCTATGGGTCTGTCTTTTTTCGAGGGAACCCCCAAACTTGTGTTTTTGTTTTCCTTTTGGTTTCCTGTTCAACCAACCCCAAAAAGGAGTCCCCCCCCCGCATGGTGGCCATTGAACGGGTCGATTTTGCAACCTCCTCCTTCTAGGGTCTTAGTTTTTTAGGGTTCCTGGTTGCAACATAGACTCTAGGTGTCCATGGCACGGTACCCCCCCAAAAAAAGAACAAACAGAGAGAACACCCTAAGATCTCAGATCCGTGGTGGTTCCTTGTGGTTTGCCTTTAAACCAACCTCAAAAAGTCCCCCCCCCCCGGCCAAAAAAAAAAGAAAATGAAAAAAGAGAACAGCACAACAATCACGTTTTGTCCCTTTGGGTCTCCCTTTTCAAGCCGCCCAACGAGAGAGTTTCCCGGGGCTGGCTTCCCTTCAAACCAACCCTCAAAAATGGTATCCCCCCCTTCCCCCCCCGCCCAACAGAAAGAAAACCAACGGCCCGCAGATCTCCCTGAGGCCGTGGAGGCGGATTTGGAGGCCTTGCGGAAGTCTGTGGCCACGGGCAGGTGCCACCCGAACGGTGTGTTCAGCGAGTCGAGTCATGAGTCGAGTCGAGCGGTTTGCCTGGGAACCCCTCAAAATGGCACAAGGGTTTTCCCTTCGGTTTGCCTTGGACGTCACGCTTTTTTTTCTTTAAAAAAGACCCCCCCCCCTTCCACAAAAAGAAAACAACCAGGGAAAACATGTTTTTCTTACAAAAAGACCCCCCCCCCCCCATATGAGCCCGCATGGCTTCACTTTGCCGGGCCAGGTGGGACGACCTAAGTTGACCCCCACTGCCGTTGCTTCGCCGGGCCGCGAGTGCGCGCGGCACCAAGGGCGGGAATTCGGAATCCCGGTCCCAAACGGAGTCCCAGAACTTCACTGTTGGCAACAAAGAAAGTTCTGTTGTGAGAACAAGCTATTGCTTTTGGCAAACTATAACCGTTGCTGGCAAGCAAAACAAAGCTCTGGTTTCCCTCGAGAACAAGCAACACAAGCTGAACTTTCACAGATTTTGGGCAACGAACGGTTTTTTTTTGGTTTGCTCCTTTTGAGTTGGGGGCTGCAACAAACTACGTAGATTGGGGAGGGTGGAATTTGGGGAGATTTTGAGAGGGGGTTGGAATCCTATGAACATGCTGGAATTCATTGTGCCTTCTTTTGCCCAACACTAGCATTTGACATGCAGCTATTGAATATATGGCTGATTGTTTAAAGCATGTAGACAACAGCGTAAACCATGAAGCCTAGCAACTTTGCCTGCAAGTTACATGATTGGCAGTTCCTCCGGTCTGACGCCAGCATACCACGGGAAAAATCAGTGTTTTCCTTCGGTGCCTCGCTCCAAAGTTGAATCCGGCCGATCGACCCTTCCCTTGGAGAAGCGGTCAGGGACCCGGGACGCATGATACATAAGTCAAGGGTACGTTACGTGTCAAAATGGGGGCGACACCCCCAAAATGGTGGCTGTCCTTTTGGTTTCCTTTTAAAACCCACCTCCAACAAATCACACACTCACAGCCAAACACACACACACACAAACACACCCATAGGTCCCCGCCCAGGAGTCTTAGCGCGCCGCACTGACCCGGATGAAGCTCGCACCCAATCCATCGGTTTGCAAAGAATCGGCAGCCGGGCGTACATATTTTTCGGACTTTTAGGGGGTGTATTTTTGAGGATTGCGGAGAAGCCCAAAGGATAGAAGGAATCTTGTTTAAAGGCTGCATTTCTTTTTTTCCAGAGCGACAATGGCAACGCACCAAGCCGGTAGAACCGAAGACTCGGATTGGCAACTTGCGCATATTCCTGGAGTCTTCTGGAAAGATACAGCCAAGACAGCAGGTTTTTTTGGGTTGACCTTTTATGCATCACTAGGAGACTCCAGATGTAGGTTTCACAGAGGTCATAATGCACAGAGTGCCTATGGAGTGAAGGCTTTTTCAGGCGACAGAGGCAGATTCCCTCACATGTGATGCATGCTAAATTTGGGGAATGAGCTTATTCAGCTTCCCTCTAATTGGTGGTTTGGATTGATGTATTGACCCTAAACAAGAACTGGTGGTTTTACCCTTTACAAGAGCTGGGAGTTTAAGGGTTAGCTGACTTATGGTGATGGCGGTTCAGATGGGGATTTTATTTGTTTCTGGTTTGTCAATCAGAGTAGTTTGCCGAGCTGCATTTTACAGAAGAACAAAAACGGGCGGCGCAAAGTGAAACGAACAGTAGAGTGCATTTTGTGCAGAATCGCAAAGGGGTTATGCACCTGCCACAGTCGGTTGATTGCTGACGCCCAGGGTCTCTGTAAATTCAAGATGCAAAGATGCAGGCACGATTGCACAAATAGCAAGATCAGACATCCTAGTCTCTTTTGAAACAGGTGCCAAGGCATCAATACATCGTGCTGTGCTTATGGTTAATAGACAGCCACTGAGCTTGTCACTAGTTGCAGGCATTTTGGAGTGCAATTCTGGAGCGAGTCTCGCCGATAGCGTGGGCCCCTTTCCTGCGCGAAAACAGACCGTTGACGTAACATGTGGTTTGTCCGCTTGGTCGCACTTCCCCCAGTTGCTCATTTGAGTATATCTCGTCATAATACATGTGCGTGCACGCAAAGAGACACACGTGAATGTACACCCTCTCAGTCCCAGGTGTGTGGCATTGATCCATGAATGGTGCAAGTATTCGGAACCTGCTTTGTTTGGGTTCCCTGGACAAGGAGTCTAGAAAACTAAAAGATCCATCGCCTTTCGGTTCTTTCAGGAGAAGTTGCATTGTGACTCGAAGAATGTCACCGCGCCGAGACATGTTGCAACAGCCGCTCCGGAGATTCCGCAGAGATGCTTGCAGACGGCCTGGGACATGCAGCACGGGCGCATTTGTCGCTGTCCCAGCACAAAAGCACTGAACCGCACGCCAAAAGGGAGGGTCACATGAGCGCACGCACACGCCTGCGCGCTCTGTGTGTGTGTGTGTGTGTGTGTGTGTATGTGTATGTGTGTGTGTGTGTGTGTGTGTGTGTGTGTTTTTGGGAAACGATGATTTACAGGGTCTGCCTATTTTGACGTAGACCCAACTTCCACAAAAGGAGATTTCCGGAGTAATTGGGACACATGCTTGTTGCAACACATTCGCAACTCCACAAAAGGGGCTGCAAGGTAATCATGACACATCGTTGTTTTTCAAACTGCGAAATGGGTAGGGGACCTTTTGCTGGACATCAAATTCGATGGGGATTAATATCCACCAAACAACTCCGAAGAAATTCCTTGCCATCACCCCACACCTGTGTGTGTGCGTGTGTTTTTTTGAGGACCCCCCCCCAAATGGTGGCTCCCTGTTCGTTCCCTTTAGACACTTTCCAAAACGGGTACCCTCCAAACATGGCGGGGATTTGCTGCATGTCCAGAGGCCTCTCATCCGCGAGGTTCGCGAAGCGGAGCCGCGATGGTTGGAAAGGTGCCGCAGGTGACCCAAGCCCAGCGCTCCAGCCATGCTGTGGATGGACGAAATCCATGTCGCACCGCCGAAGCCGTGGAATGATGACTCTTTTGATACCAACAAGCCAGAGTTTCCGCATGGTTGCAAAGTGATGCGGGATTTTGTCCATGCACAGTAGGTTTCGGGGCAGTCCTCAGATTTTATTCAGTGATAAAAGTCGGAGAGATGAAGCGAAGTTGCGACGATCGCTGACTCCCTGGCCTGGATAGGCAGAGCCGGCGATCGAAAAGAAAATTGCTCCACATGGGGCCGTCCCCTTTTGGAAGGAGTCAGGGCCAGAAAGCGTCACATGCGGCGCAACGCGCAAAGCGCGTCGTGGGAAACCGGTGAGACAAATTCTGGCACTGGAAGTACCAGTTGTACAGAACAGGCGCGCAGCAATCTTAATTCGACTACCGAAAATGGTCCGGGACTGGGGCGTGAATCGGAGCATGTTATTGCAAGTTCACTCGGATTCTGGAAGGCTGGAAGACCAATTCCCTCAAAAAGGGTTCTGGGTTCCCCAGCAGGATTGGGGGCATCCGAACAAGCCTTTCCAGCTGAGCATCGCGAAACGAAGTCATGACGAGCTCACTCGGCAAGGAAATGAGCGGGTTCCCTCATGAGGTAGGTCCTTTGCTTGGGAATCCCTTTCATGAATCATTCAAATGCCCAGATGGCTATGGGTCAAAAATAGGTGTACAAAGTGGAACCCTGGTATTTGGAATACTAGCGGTTCCCCAGTGGTTTTATTTTGACCCATACCCAGATGGGTGTGGCTCAAAATTAAACAGGAGGGGTTACGCAGGTTTTGGTCCATGTTTCCACTTACTAGGGTTCCATTTGGGGTACCTATTCTTGACCCCCACAGCCAGAGGATGTCCGGAAACAGCTTAGCTGGCGCTGCCCAGCTGTCGAAGGGTGCAGAACGGAGTGCCTCCAACTCATCCATTCGGCCGCTGCTTGGCCGAACGTGTGTGCCCTATCAAGGAGGAGCTGCTCAGGGTTGGTGAATGTATACAAACGTATGGATGGAGATAATACAGACATATATACACAATGACATACATGCATAGATAGCAATAATATGTGTATTTATATAATAGAACATCAATAAAAGAAATACATATATAATATTCTACGGAATTTGCGACACCGTTTCTGAAACGTTTTCTGGTTTTCGCAAGGAGAAGACGCGAGACCCAAAAGAAGGATCGAAATAAACAAATGCGGAGGGAAACAAAGTAATTGCCCCACCCCATGGGTCAGGGTTTCCGAGCCATGTCTCTTTTTGACGAGGCGATCGTTTCAATGGCAATCCACCAGTTAATTGATCAACTTAAGGGCAGATGCAGCGACCCCTCTAGGGGCGTCCCGTTAAACAAAACGCATCTCATAAAATCAAACGCCCTTGCATGCTTCACAGGCTAGAACTTGTAGCATGGGAGTAAACAAGTTCCACGTGGGTGTGCTAAAGGGCGAGCCCTGGCAAGACTGGACTACTTTGAGTGAGACGCCTGGGGGTCAACGCTTGCTATTTCTTCGCTTTTCTTGGCAAGCTGTTTGGTTTTTTAGGTTCTGTTCATGTTTACAGGGGGGGCTGCAACAAACAACGTCTTTTGCAACCATACCCAAAGTTGTAGAGATTTGACCTCCAGTGTTTTGTGGTTTTCCGGAGACTCCGCGGGTGCGATCGTTGGAAGCTTGGTCTTGGAGAGTTTGGATCGCAGAGAAAAGGCTCAGTGAACAACCAGAACCCCAAGGCACGACGTCTTCACAGCCAACGGATAGACAAGAGCCCTGACATGAGCAGCTCTCGGTTTTGGCCTGGCTGAGTTTGTTGTGAAGTTTACGACCATTGCGGGAAAACTGCTGAAGCACGGTCCGATTTGTTAGCGCCACGCAGCTTGAACACGGCAATGGCTTGACACCGTATGTGCGCGATGCGCGGCTGACTACCGCAGCAGGTGACTTGACGCATCTCAGTGGCAAGGGTTGTTTGGCGTTCGACTTTTCATTTTTAATATTGAATATCCCCCAGGCGTTTTGGGACCCGCATTTTGAATGGCGCAGCCCGAGCATGTGGATGCCGACTGAGGCGCGCTCGATGAGAGGCTCGGGCTTCGCGACCCTCTGGACCCGTAAGTAGACAGTTCCCCAGAATTAGCTCCTCTTTTTGATCTTTTGCTTTTTAGGGGTCTTCTTGTTTTCCATCAACGAGGCAAAACATATAGTCTTTTCCTGGGGTCCTGATTCCAGCCAAGAGAAGAGGCTTCAAGGCAAGCAAACCGCAGACGGGCGGCTGAAAACGGGATCCAGTCCATTGGGAGGGCCTCGGGATTTCCGTGCACCCGGGCGGTACACCTTGGGGACTCGCGTGAGGAGGCAGCAGCGTTGCACACGGTCCTTTGGTTTGAAGCCCTCGGTGTTGTGTGGCGTGCAAGGCCACTGCTCGGAAAGCAAAGCAAGTCGGAGCCAGCCGCACCAGCCAATGCCAACCAATGGCTATTGTTTGTCCAATGGCCGGCATGGGGGCAAGACAGCGCATCGTGAAAGGCAAGGCGGCATCACTCGGATGGGCCACAACCACACCCATTGGACTTGGGGCCTTCCCAGCCATCCTTTTTTTTTTAATTAAAAAAAATAGATAAATAGGAGTTTAGCGGTAGTTTTCCTTCAAGCCGCTAAAATTTGGTCACGTTTACCAGGGGATCTGAGGGCAGCCCATTGAATCAGAAGAAGGCGCCGCCCATCTACCGTTTATTGATGCGGCTGGCAGCTGCTCACCAACCTCCTCAAGTCACCCAACAGTCATCCGGCTGCACAGCCGTAGCTGCACTGCCTGGTGCGACCTTACAAAGGAATTGAAACAAAATCACTCAATGCGGTTCCTTCAGAGATGCTTTGGGTTGGCGAATCACGGCATTCCAACCAGCTGTACGTGTGGGGGTCAAACACAAAGCCATGTCTCACTGCTGCGTTGCCGGACTTTCGATTTGGGCCGCTCACTTTAGCGGAAAAAAATCAAACGCCTGGCTCGCCTTCGAGGCAATGCAGGGCCTGCGCCCCAGAACTCTGAAGCAATCATCGAGCAATGAGGCATGAGGAGAAATCGTGCCCCGCACTCACCAGAAAGGTTTCTCAGGTCCCTAAGAACTACGGAGGC